TTGTGTATCTTTATGTAGGCTTTTCTAATATATGTATCTATGAATAGATAGTTCTCTTTCCCATTACAAAAATAGTGGCATAGGGTACACACTATTCTTCAATGTGATTTTTCTCTCTGTTGGAGATATTTCTATATTAGTGCAAGAGATGACTGGCTTGCCATATTTCTGGTATATAGCAGATGATCCCTAAAGTAAAAATTAATTTTTATAAAGATGAAGGCATACCTTTTTTTATACCCTTTGCCATTCAATCTTAAATTTAAAAAAAACCTAATTCCTGATAAAAATGTTATTTCTTATATAGAAATAATTAGTAATGAAATTGTGAGTACAAAATATGTTTCAACCTGATGGAATTTTGACAATAAAATATTCCTGTTTTATTTTACATATGAATTTATGCCACACACTAAGTTTTTCATTTTTTTCTTACAGAAGAAAGTAGTTGATGTTAACAAATAGAACTAAGAAAATATTTATTAATTTGTAATCAATAGGGCACATCTCTGCATTGTTTTTTCCCCCTGGTAGTAGCAGATTTATACTTACAAAGATTCTCACACTTGACCTTCTGTGAAAATTGGCTACGTTAATTTATTCAACAAGTATTTACTGATTAATCACTAAGTGCTCATATACACTGCGAAGAATATAAGAGGTGTACAGGTGTACAGGTAGGTATACAGGGTGATTTCTGTCTTCTGGCTCAGAGGGAAGGGAAAGACATGAGACATGTACTCGGAGGAGGTATAAATATGTGCAACAGACAGTGCTTCCACTGACAGATATTAGCTTCTTTCCATTTCCATGGCTACCAGCCTCAGCCAGTCTTTATTTCATTTAATCTAGACTCCTACCTGGCCCCCTACATTCCATGAGCCTCTACTCCTACCCACTGTACACACTGATGCCATATAAGATGATGGCTCCAAGAGTTCTATTCTCCTGATAAAAACAGTTATAAATCCCACAGCATTAAGGGGCTTACTGATTGTAGTTTAAATAGAACGTTCTACTTTTGGTTTTCTTTAGCCCTTCTTCTCATAAGGGACATAATCCATACAAGTCTACTATTTTCCCCCTGAAAATGTACTTGTTTTGCTTTATTTCCTTTTCCTCATGCTGTTTCCTCTCCTTTATTCAGAATTCTATCATCCTCATATGGTGATCTTATAAACCATTTTCATATTAGACATAATCTGCATGAGAGGAGAGAGGGAGAGGATGTGTGTATGGACCAGACCACATTTGTGGAAGTTTTCAGGAAAATATTATATAGCATTATTTATATATTAGCATGTGCTTTATTTCTTTGTTTACTTGTTTCTTCTATTAGACTAATGTTCTTGATCAAATACAAATACAAATTTAACAAAATTTGTATTTTACTAAAGTATAAACTTTGTACATAGGAGGTTCTCAGTAAATTCTTATGTAATCAAACTGAAGTTATTTGAATCTAATGCTGTAGAAAAAGAAATCAATTTCATTTAATGAACTGGCTTAGTAAGAAAGCCTTGGAGAAACTTTTGGAGAAAGCCTTGGACAGGCCTCTGGATATATGGAAAAAAATTGTAACACATACTCTATGACGAAAACTTGTTGGAATAAGATACGTAAAACAATTAAAAACAACAATCACAAAAAAGCTGCAACTCTTATTTCCATAGGGTTCTATACTAATAATTATGTCATTGGCCTGAAGAAGGAAAGAGGTCCATGGCATTTACATCAATATGATATTAATAAATCAAGACTAAAGAGATTCATTAAACATTGAAGATATATCAACTATTTCAAGTTGGTGACAAAATTTTTTTTTACTAAGTTTTAGAATTTTTAAGTTGGAGGTTTGCAGTATATAAAGGCACTCTGGAAAATACTCACACATGATTATTTCAGTATGAGAACCTTAAATTATAAGAATGTTTTTCAAGATATATGTTTAACTAGATATTTATCTATATTTGTCATTAGTATCTTCTAATATAAACATAGCTAATATTTTAATTCAAATATATGTTATGCCTGTTACTTAAGTTCTTTTATATCTATGTGCACATAGTTGGATTACCTTTGCAGGTTTCTACAGAACTTGGGTGAGTGTGGGCATATGACTACATTTCTATCTCTTTCCTTTCTTCTCCTGCTTTGTAGAAAACTCTATATTTCTGTATGAAATTATTTGAAGTTAAAAACGTGTAAGAAAAGATAGTCACTTAAGCAATTTCCAAACCCATATTTTTTTCATTTTATTCATCTGAAATGTAAAATTGCTTAATGATTTTCCAAAAGCTAAAGAGAAGCTTTAATTAAACACCACACTACCCAAAAACATGATACTAGCACATATTGTGAACTTGGGCCCCATAGTCAAGAAATGTAGGTTTCATTATTATCTTCCTAAAGAAAACCTGCAAGTAGTATCTAGAACAATATGTGCCTCAATGTTCCAGTTACAAAGAAATGTCATCTGGCTAGAATAATTTAATAATATATTTTATTATTACCTACTTCTTTCTGGATCCAGAGTACTGAAATGAAAATGTGTGTATAGAGGTGATAATCAGAATAAAGGTACCCCCAAAGATGGCCACATCCTAATTTCTGGGATCTATGAAAATGTTACCTATGTGGCAAAAGGACTTTGCAGATATGATTAAGATTATGAATCTTGAGATGGGGAAATTATCCTTGATTTCCCACATGGGCCCAAGAACACACTTTATAACAATTTTTTGCATCCTTAAATATTTAGAACATGCCACACCCATACTAGACACTTAGCAAATATTTATTGAATGCATAAAAAAGAAGGGATGAGATTGAGGTATCAAGAAAGTAATAACCTAACAAATAATTATTATCTGCATTTGCAGATTTTCCACCATAGGAATATAAGTAATAAAGTGAATAACAACCAATGGGGCACCTGGGTGGCTCAGTCGGTTAAGCGTCCAACTTCAGCTCAGGTCATGATCTCACCCCGACAGCTGGCTCAGAGCCTGGAGCCTGTTTCAGATTCTGTGTCTCCCTCTCTCTGTGCCCCTCCCCTGCTCACACTGTCTCTCTCTCTCTCAGAAATAAATAAAAAACATTAAAAAATTTTTTTAAAAAAGAGCTCCAATGTATCTTTGAAATATGATCCAGTTTCAAAATTTCTTCTTTGTTCCCTAATAAATATCACAGTGGAAACCAAGAAATAAAACCCAACAATTGAGAATGCTATGATGATGCAATTCAACAAACTGGAAGTATAAAATTTTAAATTATCTGTATCATTCTTAGAGAAAATATAATGACCCCAAATGCTCATCTTAATTAGTAAAACATTGATGGGGGAAAAACATAAAAGAATTACTCTTGGGGCACCTAAGTGGCTCAGTCAGTTGAGCATCTGACTCTGGATTTCAGCTCAGGTCATGATCCCAGTGTAGTAGGAATGAGTCCCGAGTTGGGCTCTGCACTGAGCGTTGTCGAGCCTGCTTAAGATACTTTCCCTCTCTTTGTTTCTCTCTCTTTCTCTCTCTCTCTCTCTCTCTGTCTCCCTCCCCCTTTGCCCCTTTCTCCCAGTCACATATGCTCTCTAACCAATTAAAAAACAGGAGCTATTCTGAATTAAAATATAATTTCCTATTTTTATTTTTTATATATTTTTAAAATTTTTGTATTTTTAAAATTACCCCTTATCTCTATTAAGGACCTCTACATTTTAAGTTTATAAACTTTGGTAAAATTTGGACAAAGGATGTCTATAATAAAAAATTAAAGACAAGTTGGTGGTAAAAAATTAAATGTATTCATTTAAAAACTAACAAGTCAAAACAATTCTGCAATCTAACATAAGTGACCAGTTTTCTAATTTCAATTCTATAATTCTATCCTAGACACATAATCTTAAATAAAACAGATTTGTATAAAAAATAATTTTTAGTATAAAAAATTTATGCCTATCTCAAATGTTCAACAATAAAAGAATAGTTAGGTAAATAGATCACATGTTTAAACATCATACACTAAAACAAATGTAGCATAAGAGAAAACCAGTATGAAAAAATTTAAACTTGGTTTGATCTATCTATCATCTATCTATCTATCTATTTATCTATCTATCTATCTATCTATCTATCTATCTATCTATCTATCTAGAGTGGAGGGAGGGAGAGAGAAAGACAGAGAGGGAGGGACAGAGAGAATCCCAAGCAGGTTCAGTACTGTCAGCACAGAACCCAGTACAGAGCTTGAACTCATGAACCATGACATCATGACCTGAGCATAAATCAAGAGTTGGATGCTCAACCAACTGAGCCACCCAGGTGCCCTGAAACTTAGTTTGAACTTAATAATTTTAAAACATATATAGAAAAAATTTAGAAAGCAATATGCCATGATATTATATGTAATTGGTAACATTATTGAATATTTTAATTTTGTATTATGTTTTTTACTGTTTTCCAAATTTTCAATATTACAGTTATTATTTTATGTTAAGAGAAAGAATTCTGTAACGTAAAACAAAAATTCTAATATAAGCAATCACTTCTGTTCATTAAACATTTAAAATTCTGTAATTGTGTCTATTCCATGAAACCTTCTGAAGGAATGGGCTATTTTAGACTAAACCAAGGGCTTTTCAAATAATATGAAAGTACATTTTAGGTTTGATCTGAGGAAAAAAAATATGAAATAATGAAAGTCACTCAATATTAACTATAAGGAAACTGAGTGCTGGGAATAGGTGATAAAAAACATTTTATAAGAGAAAAGTTTTGTTTACTAGTTTTGTTAACTTATAAGAGATGTTTTTAAATTATATAATCACTAATATTGTATGAACTGCCTACATTATTATTACATATGTAATCAAATCCTACCTTTGCAGGCTTTTAGTATGTAAATTCTGTAACTTTGTAAACACATTCCAATAAGTTAAGTGATAATTAGTTTTATATATCACTACAGGTGAAAAACAATAGTTTGGTGGAATTATTACTTACTGTGGTAGCACAATGAATATCTTTCCACACTGTAGCTTCCCTGGAGAGATCAGAGACTTCAAACAAATTATCAAGAATCACTTCCCCAATCATGTCATGTCTAGAAAATCTGTCAAAATCATATATACTGAAATGTAGTTTTCGGTTGCTTAGTTGATCATATGCTACAGGAAACTGAAACGTTTCATCAAATAGAGGATTTAAAGTCTTTCTGTGCACACGGGTCTGAAATTTCTTTTTCCTATCTGGAAGAAGATACATCTTCACGTAAGGGTCAGAAGTGCCTGTGAAATCCTTAGCAGGGAGATCTAAGGCTTTGATAATTTTAACAACTAGAAGTTCATTTTCATAGTCATACTGGAGGGTGAAGTTAAGTTTCCCACAGGTTTTGACATCTTCCCTGTTGCCCTCAGAGTCGACTGATTTCTGTTTGTAGAGCTCTGGTTTTATCCTCCCAATGCTGGTTGTTGTTTCTCCTCTTTGTAAAGCGGGTTCTGTGCCCATGCTGAAATCCACACTGGAAACCTGCATTTGCCTCGGCAGGTGTCTCCTGAAGGAATTGTGGCTGTATATACACACACGTACACACAAGATCATTTAGGTAGATCATTCTGATGACAGCAGTATACAGTGGCATATAAATACTCCCCCACCCCCACATGATGAAAGCATTTCATTTGTATAAATAGACAGACAGATGGGGACACACACACACACACACACACACACACACACACAGCTACTTTTGAAAAACCAGAAATGTAATATTCAAAGGAAATGACTTCTAAAATTATAGAAACATCTGAAACATTCTAATACGTTTTTATGAGCTTTTAGAATTTTATACTCCCAATCCTAAGCACGTAGTTATACAGAATTGTGAGGAAACACAAATACCAACAAAGTTCAGTATTCCACAAAATACCATGAATCATCAATCACCTGGTTATATCTTGCTGTAAGTCCTGTGTAGGCAAATCATTCAGGAGGCTGGTTTCTTTATATCTAGATATTTGCATCTCGTGAATTTCGTGTTTTAGTGACTACCCCATTAGAATAAGAAACATAAGTCCACCTATTCTTATACTGTGTTAATTATTCCTAATACTTAAGATAACTAAATGAATATTTACTTGTGAAAAAAATATATAGTGGTGACAGCCAAAATTAGTACATTTTCCTTTTTCCAACATGGAGTGGGCTTCAGAAATTCTAAGGATTAAAAATGTAGACTTTTAGAATTTGGGGCCAACCTCATAAACAGAGTTTTCTACAATTCAAACTGACTTTCCTATTATCACTATTACCATTCATCTAGTCAACATTCCTGGAACATTAGCTATATCAACTTACCAGTGTCTTATAAATGTGGCTTGCATTAAGATCAGCTTCTCTTCTACTTCATCTGTGATTTCTGGCATAAGCTGTGCCAACTTATGTGTCTCCTCAAGGCTTAGTCCCAGGTCTTTTGTTTTTATTCTCCTCAGTCTCTCCAATAGACTAATCATTAATTTTTGAACTATAACTGTCATCTTAAATCTGATGGTTCCCTGCATATATCTCAGATATGTAAACTTCTGGTTCCATATTTCTTCATCTCTAAAAGAGTTTTCTAAATGGATATCTTTATTTTTCCCCAAACACAAGCAAAATCATTTTCTGCCTTTTGCTCTCAAACTAGTTCTCCATTCCAGTGTCAGACAATAGCTCTAACATTTTTACCAACCACTTGTGCTTGGGAACCTGCAGTAGGCTTTGAATCACCTTTTCCTTTATTCATGAGATTTACTCAATTTTCTAAATGCAGTTGATGTTTGCTTTGAAACATTCCATATACTTGTCCATTCTGTTCCATCTCCTCAGTCCAGATCCTCATTGACTTCTGTTTTGCTTTCTATACTGGTCTTTGCCCAACTCTTCTTCTTTCATGTCTCTCTTACACTTAATATCTATCTAGTACTTGACTTTAAAATCCTATACTCACTTCTGTTGTCTATTACAGGTCTACATTTTTTACAGCAAGCACTAAGTAATACTGAGGACGTGTTTAACTAATACTTGATTCATTGATGCACACATAAGGACTGATTTAAGAGGGATAAAAAAAAAAAATGAGTGGATACCCAGAAGTAAGCTCCTAGCCATGTTACCATTTGAGCTGTAATTTGAGGAGCTGAGGATGTTGAGCCTAGAAAGGATAGGAATCCGTCTTCTAATTTCTGAAGGACTGTCATGGCAGAATTATTAAGCATCTATGGAAGTTGCAAGTAAAGATGGACTTTGGCTTAATATAAGGGAACATTTAAAAATATCCAGAGCTGTCCAAAGTGGCGAACACAAAGTACAGAAACAAAGATTAGATGTTGAAGAAAAAGATTTCTGCCTCAGGTGAGATGCTAGACTTCTGTTTTCTAACACTTAATTTCTATGACTCTCTGGCATTCTATGATTCTTTAATAATTCTATTCATGATATCATTATATATATTAATAAAATGGAATTTTATTATGTAAATTATGTTAATCAGAATTATAATCAGTTGTTCCAAATTTGCTCTCTTACATTTAATTAGCTTATTTTCTATTTTCAGGACTGAAATACTAAACAACTATTTAAATACCATAAAAATGGCACAGCTAATCCCATTCTAATTCTTGATATTGTTTAGTGCTAATCTGATATTGGAATATCATTGCTTCTTAAAGCTTAAGCTTCTGTATCTATTCCTTATACAGAAATGGGGGCTTAAATTAGGGTCAGGTCACCACTGGAGAGCATTTATGAAAATAAGAATGATTTTAAAAAGAATACAAGTAGTAAATGTTCTGAATTATTAAAGGGGGTATAGTATAATTAAGTTATATATTCAGTGTTCTTAAGAGATTTAGATTATTAAATAAATAATATTTCTGCCTAAATCACTTTCATTTCTGTAAAGATTTTTATTTTTTACTTATTTATTTATTTATTTATTTATTTATTTATTTATTTATTTATAGAGCATGCACATGAACAGGGGAGAAGCAGAGGGAGAGAGAGATAGAATCCTAAGTGGGCCCCAGGCTGCCAGTATGGAGCCTGATGGAGGGCTCGATCCCATGAACCATGAGATCATGACCTGCACCAAAAGCAAGAGTCAGAGGCTCAATTGACTGAGCCACCCAGGCACCCCTGTAATGATATTTATAGAAAAATTTTATAAGCAAAATTCTCTCAAAAGTTAATTCCTTGTTTCTTATAGATTGATTCCATAATTTCACACTCATACTTTTCAATATAACAAAATTTTAATCTTCTAACCTCTCCTAAGAATCAGCAATTTCTTTATGTCTGTGAATATAATTGTACAGCTATAAAGCCTCTCCAGCAAGAATCAAAGATTAGTAATGTTTTTGTTCTAGTAAGCCAGTGCCCTAATTATAGGGTAAATAGTGTATATTCTAAGTCATAGTTTAGCTAGTCAGTGAAGAGAAGCTTTAATTATTACAATGTTAAACTAACTGCCATGACAAAACAGAACTTCTTCTTTCTTCCCTTTTCTTCTCTTTTAAAATGACATGGTAAGTGGCTAGTCTCACACAAATATCCAACCAATCAAAATATAGGCCATTTGACTATTACTGATGCCATTCTTACCCTTCAACCCTAGGATGGCACCACCCAAGTATTTCTCCAGATAGAGAAGGAAAAACTTTCCCTACCGTACCTAGAATACCTGACAGTAGCTAGATAGATCAAAATTACTTAATGCCATAGGAGTAACATGCATTACCGTGGTGATTTTCAAATATTTATTACCAACAGATCTTTTCCTTAAAAAAAAAATTGGAAGCTAGAAATTGAATATGTGGGGCGCCTGGGTGGCTTAGTCGGTTGAGCGTCCGACTTTCGCTTAGGTCATGATCTCGCAGTTCGTGGGTTCGAGCCCCGCGTCGGGCTCTGTGCTGACTGCCAGCTCGGAGCCTGGAGCCTGTTTCAGTCTGTGACTCCCTCTCTCTCTGACCCTCCCCTGCTCACGCTGTCTCTCTCTCTCTCTCCTAGAAATAAATAAAACATTAAAAAATTAAAAAAAAAAAAAGAAATTGAATATGTAAAGTCAGAGCTACTCTGGTTGACGTGTGGGTAGAGTCCTGGAATCCCACGGGAAACCAAGCCAACTTTTCCCTACTACCCAGGAGAAGGTGCCTGAAGATCATAACACTGAGATGAGGTGGGTAGAGTGTTGGACTGGAATCAGACAGTTTGTTCCCAGCTTCCCTATAAAGTAAGAGCAACTTTGGGCAAGTCACTGAATTTGTTTGGGGTTTCCTCTCCTTTCCTATAAAACAGTCCTTTTACACAGTAAGGATCCAGTGAGATATTAGATGACTTTGAAAACTATAATTTCTCATATTGATAATATCATTACAATTCAGGATACAAGGAGCTAAAGTGCAAATACCATACGGAACTCTCTGGTTCTGACCATCTCAAGTCAAGGACGGCTGTTTCGGGGTGTGCAGATGGCACAGAGTCATTCCTGTGTGTTTGTCCTTCAGCCACCGCCCTGGACAACACGGACGGATGAACTCACTTCTAGCAACTACCAGTTCTCTTTCCTTAAGTGGGAAACCTTTATCTTCCTACTCTTAACTGTGGTGACTTTACCGTCTGTTCAGTCTACCTGAGGCAGAAAGCAGCGAGGAAAAACAAAAATATATTTAGCAACACTTTATTGACTTATTCAACATGTTTATAAGAAATTCATCTTTCCTTGTTTTTGTTGGTACTAGAGTTTGTATCAGAAACTATCAGCATATGTTACATGTTATTTGCCCCATTTCATAGTTAATAAGTCTTTTTAAAATTTTTTTTTAATGTTTTATTCATTTCTGAGAGAGAGAGACAGATGAGCAGGGGAGGGTCAGAGAGAGAGGGAGATACAGAATCCGAAACAGGCTCCAGGCTCTGAGCTGTCAGCACAGAGCCCGACGTGGGGCTTGAACCCACAAACTGTGAGATCATGAGCCAGAGTCGGATGCTTAACCAACTGAGCCACCCAGGCGCCCCAATAAGTCTTGACTAGTAAGGCTAAATCAAGTTTTTGGTAAACTAAGTTTTCATCTTTATTTGTTCCCTATTCTATTCAATTTGAAACAAGGGTTCATTAATACACCCACAAAAATAACAGGCAGAGCACTACCTATATGAAAGCCAACTAAGTTGTATAATATGTCACGATGAACTTTTAAAATAAAAATTGGAAGGGTGCTTGGGTGGCTCAGTCGGTTAGCGTCCAACTTTTGATTTTGGTTCAGGTCATGATCTTACGGTTTGTGAGTTTGAGTCCCATGTCAGGCTCTGTGCTGACAGTGTGGAACCTGCTTGGGATTCTCTCTCTTCCCACCCCATCTCTAACCATCCCCTTCCACCCTGCTCACACTCTCTCTCTCAAAATAAATAAATAAACTTAAAAAAAATAAAAATTGCACCTCAGCAAAATCCTCTATATCCTTAATCTCTTCTTTGAATGTTCTTCTCACCTTACTGCTCAATAGAAACATGACTTTTCTCCAAGGTCAGGTT